GTAAAGCTTTGGCGTCTTAAAAATAAGCTCATGAATAATGGAGATGCAGCTGTACATTACTGGCAGGAAAAGCGAGAGTTAGCCCCAGCTGCCACAAAAACAAAATTATCAGGGTTTTTTAAAACAGATTGTGCAAGATTGTCAAAGTGGGGTTCTGCTAAAAGGTTATAAGCTGCTAATAACAAAGTATCTGAAAGTTAGAATAAATCCAGACTAGTTGGTACTGCAGGCAAAGCTAACAGCAAGTCCGAAAGGGGTAAGCATGTCTACCATTTTAAAACAACTTCAAAGTCAAGATGGTCCTAACCATTTATGGAACTTTTTTTTTTTAGATCTAAGCTGTTTTGAAGTTTGCATTTTGGCTTTTTTAAAAAGAGCATCCACCTGCAGGTTCTGTTTTCGGCTCCTACATTCTCAGACTGCTTTTTCCTATTAAAGTTAAGAAAGTTAAAGCATCTCCGATGTCCTGATGTCTAAAACTGACCCTCATCTTGACCCCTTGCTGTAACAAACAGATGCTGAGTTGGTTTGCCAAAGAAAAGTACTTGAATGTATGTTTCATTGGGTACTTTTTTCAAACAGGAAAATAATTAGTTATTCAATGAAGGTCTATTCCTATATAGATATTTACTTGCTTCTCTGTAAATGACAGGACAATGCAAGAATGATGATGTTTTAAAAGGTTAAATGATAGGGTTTGAATAAACCGCTGTGACATCGTTAAAAGTTGTTTTAATATTGTTGAAGTTTGTTTTCGTCCTGGCTCCTCTGTGTCATGCTATGAGGATTTACTGTCCGGTACCAACTAATCTGGATTTATACAAAATTAAAACGATAAGAGTCTTACCTGCAGCAGGTTGTTGTTTTGGTCAGAGTAAGTGCTGAGTAGAAATGGTCGGGCAGTGTAAAAGTCGAGAAAAATCATTTCTGGTGCACCGCTATTTTTTATACCAAAACTTTTTCTTGACTGGAAACTTTCTATATGTCATGTTCTCCTCCATTTGTTTTGTTAAAAAATTCTGCCTGGTTCAAAGAGGTTGTTGGATGAAACATTTATAAAATACTTCTTAATAAGGCCTATGGGATTATCAGGATTGGAGTTTCTTTTAAATCTGCTTAGATCAACTCCTCTTTTGGACTAGCTGGAAGCTGGACTCATGCTAACGCCCCGCCCATACCAACCTGGATACTTTGCAAAATAGAGATTTTTTACAGGATTTTTCTGGTAACAGAGATTTTAAAAGTTATTTTCCAAAATGATTTACATTTATATCATTGTATCCTGGACCCTTCAGGTGAGGAAGCTAATAATGAAGAGGGATGAAGAAACCATGTTGTTGTTGGGAGACTCTTAAGCCCAGCATTGCGTTTGCTCCACTGCAGAGCTCCTTCTGTTGAATTCAGAGGTAGTTACAGTCTCCTCCTGCAATATTGCTCTATCTTAGAATAAAATGCAGCAGACTGTTTCTTTCCTTCAAGTTTGTCCTACAGAGAGTTATCTCCTGGAGGCACAATAACTGCTTAAACCTCTCAAGAACCCATCTTCAAATATTCTGAACTGCCCCTTTAAATACCCTTAGAATATTATTTAAACATCGAACGCCTTGGTTCATCCAGAAAGGGCGGTTTTATTAATCTGCCCTGGGTTTATGGTGCAACCCAACAAGGCCAGCCGGGCATAAATGTTATCTTTATCTTTTGATTGCAAGAAGTTTGAGTCTGCCTTCCATGTCTTTCTCTCTCTGAACCAGTTGGGATCGATCATGTTATCGTGAGTCACCGTGACACAAAAAAGAGGCATTTTCTTTGCCTTCATGTATACTGACAGCCTCAGTTCAGCCCAGATGTGTTTGCTTTGTTTGCTGCGTCTTTCCCGGTCATTATAAAGCTGCCCTTTCTTTGGCTGGAAAGCAATCACTCAGCAATGAATGCGATGCCCTTTAAGAAGTCTGCAATTTCCCTGAATCTTTCATGAAGCGTTTTCACTCCCAGCTGAGTCATGTGGTCGAAAAGTGCAACACAATACCAAATTTCCTTTATGCCTGTGAGTTGTTATTCAAAACAAAAAAAATCTAAAACAATGATAAATACATAAAATCGCATCTTCGAAATTCAAACAAAAATCAATTTACACATTTCTGGTGCGATGTTTTCTTACGCAAAATTGGTGGAAAATTCACAGTTGCCGCATGCACAGCAGCATCTCCTGAGTGGGTGAGAAAAGGAAGTCACACTTGTCAGAGAGGTGGTGTGTGCGAATCATATCACTCTGTCACACGCTGAAACACCAGGTGGAGAAACAGACAGCAGCAGAAAATACCAAGCCACACTTAAAAAAGCTGCATACATAACCCTCACAGACGGGTAGCGTTTGTCCGAGAGAGAGATCCATTTTAAGGGTTTCACTTGTTTTTTTTTTTTGTCCTTTTGCAGCTGAAATGTGTGCGTTTTATCCATCGTGATGCTGTCACTTAAGACGGTGCGAGAAGCTGAGATCACAAACATATATCGTGGCTTTTGAGAAGCTTGGCACATTAATCAACCATTATCAAGAAGGAGATAAATTTCCACTAGGTCCACTCTGATGTTCGACCTCCACAGTTCGTATCGTAGTTCTCTTTAGCGTTTTGTTCAGTGCTTTTTGCAAAGGTCCTGACAGAAAGGGAAAAGCTCAGCTGTTTTTCTCCAAAGCAAATCTGCCTTTGTGTATGTCTATTTCAACAATATAAATATCTCTATATATATATATATATATATAAACATGTATGTGTTAAGAGTCACATTCTGCGTTTAGTATTGATTAGCTGTGTACTGTTCTGATGTACTGACTGTATTCTTGTATATTCCAATACTGTTCATTTTGCATTTTGTCTGCCATTGTGCTACTGTTAGCTGTTCCAACATCCAAGTCTTATTATAAATGTTTATTTTTAAGCAGGGTAGGAATTAGTTGTTTTTTATTGAAATGGCTGGGAAAACAGAAAATGCCTGAATATGGTATCAAAACTTACATGTAGAGAGTGCCAAGTTTCTTTCTGCTTTTTAAAAAAAATAACTTTAGATATAAATCCTAATTGGCAGTGACTAGACTATGTAGCCTCTAGTTATATTCGATCAGTATTGGATTTTCTTTTGTTCCTAAAGCCATAAGAAATTAAAAACACAGTGCTTTACTAGATTGTGATGCCATACTATGGTAGGGAGCTGCTGGCAGGTGAGTGAGGGAAGTGGGAAACAGGGATCTCCTGAATTTCTGAAAAACAAGTGTGTATGAAAAGCTCACCAAATAGTAGGTAAATAGATTTCCTCAGGACTGTGTAACGTCTCTAACTTGCTCACATTTCCAGTATCTTTTAAGCCAAACCCTCAAACATACTATTTCCGCACCTTGCAGGCTCTTTGCTCTTAAGATTAAATAAATCCAGCCAGATTAAAAAAGGGGAGGGAACCCGTTCTTACCACCCTGCTGCACATAATCATCTTTCATCCATAGCTATAAAGTAGCAATCAGCCATGAGTAGGTGAGACAGGAAGCTTGTTGCTTTTACCCGAGGCCATAGCATAAGAAGGGAGCTTTAAGCAGCACTGAAAGCACTGTGTTTATTGACCACAACTTTAAAAATGATAAGGTTGGTCACTGCCATAAAAACTCAGAGGCCTCGTCGCTGAAGGATAATGGCTTTGCATGGTATGCTTAAAAGCTTCTCTGACTGCAGGATAGCTGCAAACTATAGGCATTAAAGAAGAGTAATACACAATAATTTGACATAATAAAAGATACAGTTTTACATCTTGTGTCGTTTTCTTTTCTCTATAAATCATAAAGCAATTAAACTGATGCTAACTTTATTACAAAGTTCTGATCTGCTTTGACTAACACATGGTGGGTTAAATCTGTGGATTATAATAGCACCATATATAAACCTTTTTATTAAAATCTAACTGTTGCCCATTCATTTACTATACAGATAATCAGCTTTGGTAGACGTATAAATGCTTTTTCATAGAACATTACTCAGTCAAGATGCTCCAAAACCACTGATTACGAGCTGTGTTTTACTGCCCTCTGGTGGTTAAACATGCATCGTACAATCGACAACGATTTACAAAGGATTCTTTACAATCTAATACATTAATGTAATTAAAGTAAGAAGGAGATCAAACACACTGATGTTAGTGGTGACAGCAAAATTTCTAAGCTTCTCAACTGTTAAGGTCAAAATTTGCATATTTAAATAAGGTCATTTTACCATAAATCAGCCAAGAGGTGCTCTGAATTTCTGACAGTCAAAACAAATAGAAAACTCATGAAGAGTCAATATCTACTCCCCGAGAGCTCCAGATGAGGAGAAGCAAAAGTCGTTTCAAAGTTAGAAAATGCGTGCTCACTGCGCCTCACTCCCCTGCTGAAGGAAAACACTCATCGAAGGTTTTCTGAGGAACATTTGGACTAAAAATTGAATTCTTTGGATGCTGTTACACATATTTGGGGGACAAACTGCACTTCATATCACTCCACACACAGTGGTGGGAATTGGTGGGGGGTTTTCATCATACTGTAATGGCAAACATCATGTCATTGGAGAAAACTCACTGTGACAGGTTCATTACTGATATCTAAATATACATATTGAAAGCACTGTTACTCAGCAGTCACACTCAACATTTTAAGCAGATAAACCAAAGAAAAATGTTCCAAATAAACACAATTCAACTAAACTGCGAGGAAACGACTACGGCAGACATGGGGATGAAATGCGGATATTTTTCTTTCATAAATTTTCAAAACGGATGATCATTTTCTTGGCAAATTAATCTTTCTTATTACAAAGAGCAGGTAGAGAGACAGACACAGACTGAGACATGAAGTGAAGTAAGAATGATTTGAACACATCTCAAGTGTTGAGGCAATTAATTGTATTAAACAATAGTACAACCAAACACAAACACTGTAAATGCGTTTGCGTGGACATTTTCCAAAAAGAAACTGAGAAAGTATATCTTATGTAACGAGAATTTTATTTTTTTTATTTGAAAATTTAACAGTAAAATGCTTTTAACGGGTTCAACAGAAACACTCCATTCAGCACAATATTCAGAAGTTAGTCTAAACTAGAAATATTACCCTTACTGTAACAACAATTATTATGACCGCAAAAGGAAGAAAAACAAAAACTATTTGACCTTTACATAATAATCTCACGGTGGCACTTATATAATTTAAACATGGGCTTCATTTTAACTAAACACATTCAAGTACTTGAACTGAAACTGGAAATCTGATTAATATTCTTATCAGCCCTGAGTTTTGGACAATATATAATTGCAGAAAATTTACATTGAACAAAGATACTGTACAGTATCCTGTGAAAAAGGTGTGCAGCTGTTAAAGCAGGTTTTGCATTTGTACCCGTTATCTACAAACTCAAAACTCAAAAGTCTGCATGCTTTAGTATTACATGGGTCAGTCTGTATTAATATTTGGCTAAACAATACATTTTAGTACCTTTTTAGATGAAATGACAAAAATAAATTTCTCATTAAGCAAAAAAAAAAAAAAAAAAACAACCAAACAAAAAAAAAAACAGCATAAAATTAGAATCTTTTCTGCAAAAATTGCAGTCAGTTGCATATATCAGACTGTTTTTGAAAAGAGGGAGCCGTGCAGTTACGATGGCGTCAATCCAGCTTCACCGTTGGCAGGCTGATTTGTCTTGTGGAAAGGAGTTTCTTTGTATATAAACCAACAATTTCCTCCCCACAGGATGAGGTTTAGGAATCCAAATATCTGCAGAAAAGTTAGGACAGAAATTGAAAATTAGCCAAAAAGGATGCATGGTTTTACTCCCTCCACCCCTTTTATAAATAAATTGTAATTACTCCAGAGAGGTAATACTTTGCAGAACTACTTTTTTTTTCATTGCAACGACAAGTCTTTGAGAGAATTAATGATTCTGACATTGTTGACAGTTTGGTCCATCTTTGCAAAGAAGATCAAGTTTAATCAGACTGATCTTCATTCCCCTTGTGGCTCATGTTATCCTGCTGGAAAGTGAACCTCCACTAAAGTCCCTAAAGATTTTCTTTTCCAAAATTCCCTCATATGTTGAACTAACCGTCTTCCCTGTTTAGCTTTGGCCTAAACTGATGGGAACATGTTCATCCACATCCGCTTGCCTTTCGTTTCACATGACATGTAAAATATTTTACCTGACATGTAAAATGTTTTACATGCAAGCAGAACGTCTGACTTTTTCCAGCCTCCCATTAATGGGACAGATTGGTTGAGTGCATAACTAATATGACTCCCGTCAACAGATTCTCTCACCCAAGTGGTGAGTCTCTGCAGTCCCTGCATGTTTTGGTTAGCCTGAATCTCTTGATTTGATTTTCTGACAAATGCTTACTTTGCCTGGTGTGTCAGTGTAGGATGGAAGTTTTGAGAAGTGGTTTCATTTTACAGAAAGAAAATCTTGACCCTCTCTGACACTCATACCTTGAGATATTGCTGTACAAGCTAATCTTGATGATTTCTGAAGGAAACTGGTGGCGCTGAATTTTACTTTTCAGGATTTAAAAAACGCCACAAAAAAATGCACACAGACCTTTTAAAAATTTTGAATGAAAACTATGGTTTCTACTTCCACTTGACAAGTATGTCCAACAAAACTCACTGACAAGACACAATCGTTTGTGCAAAACATGGAGCAGTTCTGTCTACATGCAAACCCGATTTTTTTATGCAAAGAAATGTCACGTTGTGTTATAACTCACCACAGAAGCATTTAATTTGCCCATAGAGGGCAAGGCTCCTGGGGTGCATGTGCTCGTCTTGCAAACGCCAAGAACACTGGAAATAGTTTCAAAACTAGTGGCTGTTTTGACATCAGTCAAACCTCTAGCCCAGGCGGAGGATGATGCGAGCCACAGGAAAGCCAAGGATGCAGTCACCAGCAGATCCTAGAGAAACAGCAAACGTATAAAAGCAAGTTTGATCTTGTGTTTAGTTTCAGGGCCCAACATAAACAAGCAGGTCTAATAAGACAGAATGAGGTTTTTTTCCCTGATTTGACTGAACCAACCACAACACATCTGAGAAGCGTTTTGGATGCATTTTATGCAATTCAAAAGAAAATAAGAGGAAGGCGGCTGAACACATGGGGAAACAAGCTCCTGGATTTACACATTTTTAAAGCATGACTGTATCTAAAAATGTCATTATTGCAAGTTTTTTTTTGTATTAAACTCTGTAGATTTGACAACACCAACTGTTTTAAATCATCTGTACTAAATTGTCTACAAAGATAAACAAAGATTTAAAAAAAAAAATGTATCTACACATGTTTAGGAACGTGGATGTTCCCATCATAAATTAGGAAATGAAAAATAAAAGGTAACTCCATTTTCACATGAAATAAAAAAAAATTTAAGTAAAACAAAATAATGTACATTTTTTTTCTATTTTTGTGAAAAATTTAAGTGATAGTTTTTGTTTTATAATCGCGCTTTAAAATGTTTTAAAAAATGCTTTTCTTTTCATATTCCTAGGCAGGAATAGATAAATGCCTTCACTGCTTTAAAATATGGAAACGCAAATTAAAATATTTGCCCATGTGCTTTTCAAACAAAACAAAAATTTAATTAAATCTGGTCTTTACTCACTTCTATATCTGTTTTTCTCCCATCCAGACTCCACAATCTAGTTGAGAATGTGCTTTTTTAAGTTGTTTTTTTAATGCTATATACATTTACAAAATTTCCTAGATGTAAAACAAAATGGAAACAAGCACGTCTTTAAATCCTGAACAGTAACCCAGAGACGCTTCTCTAAGCTGATGTTTTCAGTAAAGCAACAGATTCCTTCTGCTGTGGCCGAGATTCCTCACAGTCACCCGCCTCAGTAGCTTATGACAACACAGCGATGTTGCTCCTCCAGTGTTGCCCATGGTGCTTGCTGACAGAAACGTTTGCACAACACAAATGTCCTTCATTTGCTTGTAAACCACACCCTTCGCAGCCCTAAACTCAAACAGCTCTGCTACACTTTCTTCGAACTCCAGTAAGATTCAGGACGAGGGTGTAGATACGATTATTCCACGACAATTTCTTTTTTGGGGGGGGGTTTCTTTTGGTCCACATTTATCAAGTCTGTTGAAACAAAGCAAAAAAAGAATGCAAGAAAGCCATGCAAACGTACCGTGATGGGACCCCGAGTGGATTCTCTGTACAAGTGCTGATAGCCCAGATAGAGGATTAACGAGGCGGTGCTGTAGAGAAAAGCCAAAACTCCGATGCAGACGTAGAACTGTGCAGAGGACGAGTGATCTCCGGTCAGGAAGTAGGTTTTGGTTCCATCGGTTTCACAATCGGTAACGTGATAGGGATGGTCCATCAACCTTTGCACACAAATAAGCATTCTTTTCTAAGAAACCACAGATGAGGTTTCATAACTTTGCATTGTGAAACGGTTAATATCTTCAGTAATTCTTTAGCAGTGGTTTAAAATCCTTTCAAAAAAGACGCAAGAGTAAGCGCTGGAACGAATTGCTCAATCTCTGCAGAATGGAGTCCTACCCCTTCCCCACACGCTGCTAATCAAACTGAGATGTTGGAAAATATTTCCAGTCACTAAAAATATATATAATGATGTGGAATTAAAGTCCTGTCACATCTTGGAAGCATCTCTTGATTTGGCACCATTCTGAGCCGTGGAACACCATCCTATTTTTTTTTTTTTTTTTTATTATAAAAAGTTTGACTGCCTGAAAAATATCCATGTCTCTGCTACAGAGTCAGGTGTGTAAAGATTTTCTCATCATATCTTTTAATGCTATTACCAAATAAAGTAATAGTATGTAATAGTGTTGAAGGGTTGAAGTGAGGTTCAGAGAGTTTACGGTCACATCCTTCACCTGGATTGGACAAATATTCAAACCCAGGGGATTACAAACATTATGCTAATGGATATCAAATATCGACACTTTCACAACCAATCACTGCTCATTTTGTTACTTGATCAGAGGGATAAATTCAGCCCCCAAGAGTAATACCACCATAATTGTCAAAAGCAGTGAAGAGCTTAACAGCTGCGTATTAGGAATAGTCTAGCCTCAGTCTAGACTCTTATTTTCCACTAAAACAGTATCATGTCCATTTTTTTAGTGGTTTTAAAGAGGCAGTATTATGTGTTTCCCAGCCATATAATATCGGTTGTTAAAAAAATTCTGCATATGTCAAACATGACTTAAAAGAACTGTAGCTTCATAATTTAATGCCTTGAAATTGGGCCTATATCTTTTTGAGAAAGTCCTGCTCCAACTTTCAGGGAATTATTACAACATCGCTCTTCTTTTAACCTTTTAACAAAGTTATGAGCAGCATTTTACTGAGAAGCAGCTCATACAAAGAGGTCGGCAGGCACGCAGCTCCAGCAGGTGATTGCTAAATGCTGCTGGCTAGTCTGAAGGAGCTGAATGAGGGAATGGCAGCAGAGGGCTGCGCTTTGAGGCAGAAATATGGAAATTGCAGCCCGGAGGAGGAGTTTTGCACAGCTGAATGGATGCCATGGGAGATTAAAGCATTTCTCAAACATGCACAAAATAATCAAAGCCACACTAAGGGTACGTTTCTTATGAGGAAATAACATCAGAACATGATGTCAAATTAAAAAACTTGATTTTACATAACATCCCCCCTTTAAATCATTGAAATCAGCTAAAGTAGAGCTACTCTGGCCTGGTTCACGCTTGAACCAGGCCAGGATTTGGGGGTTTTTCTACAAACTCTTGGCAAAACGACATCTGAGAGGCAAAGAACAATTCATTGTTTTTAAAAATTACAGACTGTGCCTTTAATGCAACAGGTTTATTCATTGTTTCCTGTTCTATTAAAAAAACGTTACATCTTTATCTTTTTTTGCTTAAGATTTTAGTCTAAAAGTTTTTTGTTTTTTTTTATCTTGAGGTAATCCTGGTGACGTGGGATGACTTGAACATACCTGAACGGGTAGTTGAACAACGCAGTCACTTCCTCGCTTTTGCTTCCATTGCACTTGACGTTGAACGAGGTGGATCCGCTGTAACCTCCAGTCGTGGCGAAGGCGAATATGGAAAAAACCTGCAATCACGGAGGGGGAGAGACAGAGTGGGGGACACACAGTTGGAGAAAAGAAATGAGGAAGGAGGTGGTGAAATGAAAAGTGCTGATCTGACGCTCACATACATGAGCGCATGCTTCCTTGTATTTGGCATGAAACATGTTGACAGGAAGTCTCGATAACATGACTTTCACTGCAAGGCTCACTCTTTTTTTTTTTTTTTTTTAATAAAAGGGTAAAAATTGGGAACCTGCAAATGTTTACATTTAGACGCTGCAATTGTTTCTCGACATGTTTCATAACAGCTGCCCACTTCCACCCGGGGCTGCAGAGTATGATTCAGTCTGACACGAACCATGAAGCTGCAACGCGTTCCACATTGAAGCTGTGGGGAGGGTCACAAGACTAAACTGCCTGATCAATTTGCGAGGTATTTCTGGCGTGCAAGAGACGAGCTACCCACGTAAACACACGCCCAGAGCCGCACGGGCCATATGGAGAAGAAACCCTGTAAAACTCACCCACTCCAGCACACGGATGAACGCCAGGGGCTCCTTCAGGGGTCCAAAGTCGAGGGTGAACCCTGATGAGAGCACTTTCTAATAAACGTAAAGACAGAATATGTTAGAAAATATGAAGGAATCTGCCACCGAGGTGGGCTTATCGAGAGAGAAAAACAAAAAGAACAGAGAAGGAGATCAACTGGTTGAACAACAAAACTATTATCCTGGTCTCCTCTGAGTGTTGTGGCCCCTGAAGTTACCTGAGCCACGGACTCCATGTTCGCTCCGAGGGAAAAACAGACTAATAAAACTTATCCGCTTGTTTTTGGCCTTGCAGCTCCGTGCAGGCTCCTTGCGTCGAGTCAAACTTTTCAGTGAATCGCTGTGGCTGACACGTGACCATAGACGTTAAGGCGTTAAGAAGAGGGGACGGCAGGGGGCGCTGCTGCGAAAGCGAAGAAATATGGGATTTCTTTTTTTTTTTTACACGTCATGTGGACTTAATTTTTAACCCTTATCCGAAACATACAGACTGGGGTTTTATTAGTTTTATTGAGAATAATTTCTGAATTAAGTGGGATTTAGCAAAGCATTTCTTCCTCTTTAAAGCAAATGATTACGTTTGTGGAAGTGGCTCCAACAGATTCCTGGAGAAACATGAGACTTCTCAGTCCAGAAGATACAGGAAAGTGCTCTCTGGTGACCATAGCCTGTGATGAACAGTCACTTCGAAGGGGGGAAAAGTTTTTATTTTTTATATTTTGCACAACTGGTCAAAAGTTTTGAGACGCCTCAATTTGTCAAAGTCCCAGTGCACAAAGAAGTGAAATCAAACAAATAAGCGACTGAAGTTAAGAATTAAATCACAAAATCAGATCATAGGTCAACATTTATTCTAAACTTTAGTCTCATCAAAGTTGCCACCTTTTGCTGAACAAACTTGTAGATGTTTTCTCTGTGTCAGAAATCAAAGGCTCTTCTGAGAGTTTTTTCTGTTTCTGTTGCAGAAATGTCCATCAGTATGTGGCTCTTGAAGGTTGCTTCGCTTCCCCTCAGCTCTATCCAAACTCCCAACACCCAGCTTGAAGAGATTAAATCTGGAGACTGATCTGCATACTCCATGTTTTCAAGATACCCTTTTTTTATGAGCTAGTTCTGGCATAGTTTAGACTAATGCTTTGAGTCATTACCTTGCTGTATGATGAAAGTCTGACAAACTAGGAACCATTCTTTCTCTTTCCCCCACTTAACAGCGTAGAATGGTCCTGCTTGAGGAATCGAATATTTCAAATTTTCATTCAGCAGTCCATCATACCGCCTTCCAGTTTTCAGAACTCCATCAGCAGTGTTTCATGGCCCAGTCAAGCCTGTTTATCTCATTCTGACTTTGTAGCAATGGCTTAAAAAAAAAAAAAAACTCATCTTGTCAAGCCTGAACCTGGAAATCTTTCTCTCACAGTGGAAAATTAGATTTGTTTACTATGACCACAATTAATCACCTAATCTGTTAACTCCAAGAAACTGGTCTTCTGATTCAGTCATGGCTTTGGGTCAGCCCGACCTCTTCCTGTCAGAGTTTGTCCCAGGGGACTTTTGATGGTTAATCCCTCACCTGACACCCCCAAAATGCCTGCGTGTAAGGGCTCCATGAGGTCACCAGTGTTGTCATCATCACAGGTAAGAGATTAAGGAACTCACTTTACTCACTTTACTTTCTTTGCCTTTTAAGAAAGGCCTACTTTTTTAAGTGTCATGATGGCCTCTCTCTCTCTCTTCCATTGTTACTTGCCTCTTTTTTCCCCCACATCTGGGAATACAAGCATAACTTTTTAACACAGTAAAGAATTCAAAACTTTTCAGGATCTAAGACTCACAAGTCAGATTTGACTTTCTGCATCTGGTCATCCTGTCCCACTTATGTGGGAAAAAAAAAAAACCTCGCCGTCTGGTTAGACTGGTAATCAAAGCGCCATGAATGAGGTCCAGAGTTTCTTTGTGGGGATGGGAGAAACATAACAAAAGAATAACTGTCTCTCTCCGCAGCACTCTGAATCCATTCCTCTCGGCTATAGGCACATGACATCCTGTTGTAAATGTGCCAAAAAGCACCTGAATGACTCGCCGACCTCAATGCATCCACTGATGAGAAGTTGCGTTTAGCCTGTAGCCAGAAAAAAAAAGAAAATTTTTGCACAAATGCATAAAACAGACTTGATCGAAATTTGATTTCTCCATCGTCTGTTCCTAATTTCACCTCAGACTGAGATTTGGTTAACTGTTGCAATAAATTGTGTAAATTCCTCTTAACAAAGTGCATACTAACATTTAATATAAACTGTGCAATTAGTATGCAGTTCCTTTTTTATCTTTTCTAATATGATCTGGTTTAAAATTACTGTAAGTGGGGCTAATATTCCCAAAGAAAGAATTTGTTCAATAAACCCACAAGTGACGGATTGCTTCAGATTTATTTTGACACAAACACACTTTTCCTCTCAGCTCCATAAGACTAGCAGCAGCAGCAGCAAATAGAAAACATTTGGTGTAACTGTGGGTCTGCTGATCTTATCATACAAACTACCTCTCAGTCCAGCATTTCTAAGAACAGTTGTTCTTATGAGGGAAGTTGTTGTGATAATTGAGTGTCAGAAAGGACAGGAGCTTCTTAAAGACACAGAGGCCAATTCCATGGCATCACATTACAAAGTCAAATTTCTTGTAAGCATTTTTATAACAACTAACTGTAACATAGTTGGCCGATTGTTCTATAAAATGGCACTGTGTGACCAGAAAACACATAATGCCGCCCCTTTAATTGAGTAATATACATCCATTTCATCAAGCACACATTTCTCTATTAAAAAATATAAAAAAAGATGTAATATTTTAATCTTAAATGATGTGTTTTCATTTGCTGAAAAACACACATTGAGAATGTCAGTCACAGTATACTTAATCTACAAAATATGTCTCACTTGGTAAGAATTTTTTTTTCAATATTACAGTTCACTGCTATGAACCTGCATACCTGACCTGGTCACTGAGGCCATTTCTAGAGATTTTATGAGCAGTAACTGGAAAACAAATAGGTTGGGTGTGATGGGCAGTTTATTGTTCCACAATATTTCACTTGGAAAAAAGAAAAACTACTACTGGTTTTACTGGTTTTGTTACTTTGATAGAGGTTAGATGTCAAACATTTATACATGCTCAGAACTGGGCTGAGGCATGAGCAAACTGAGCCACTGCTGGTACCCAGACCATCAAGACAACCAACCTGTTTGACTATTGGGAATGATGGTTTTGGGTGGCTTATTTAAAAGATTTTAGATTGTTTAATAATACATATTTTAAAAAGCATAAAGAAAAGAGCTTCATATCCCAAAAGGTGGAATTATCCTTAATTGATTTAGACCGAACCAGTAAAATTTGGTCCAATGTTCAAGTTGTAAAACAGTGTTAATGTTGACTGTAGGGTGGTGTGTTTAACCCCATTGGCTCCCAAATCAGAGTGGAGAGACCGAATCAGGTTATCTAAAAAGCTACACATAGATAGTTAATTAAGTAAAAAGAGATAATTTATAATGCAGTCAATAGACTGAACTTACTGAATGGACATAACCATACCAATAACCACATGTCTCCTTCAAGGAATAAGGGTGCTTAAAGGTGCCTTTTTTTTTGCAGTGGCTTTATTTCACTTTCTATGGAGGAATGCAGCCATAAAAACAAGCTGTGTGGTTTTGAGAGCAAATTCAGATCTTCAGTAACACACAACTAAGATAATAAAGACTATAATTAATGATTTAAACTAAATATTAAAAATAGCCCCTTAAGTTTTTCTGAAATGACTGAGACCTGAGTGACAGATTTTATTTTATAAGATAAGATGCAGCATTCCTTCTGTTGTTTTTTCTGTGGCTAGTTCACAGACTTGCTAAATAGGTTGAGCCACTCCATGAGCAAAAAAATGAGGAAATGCAAACACCTACTGCTCTGCTCCTCCCATCTCTCATTCCTTGTCAGAACTGTGTGTGAAGGCATTGATCGTGACTTGTGGTGTGAAGCAAAAAGGCTGAAAATGGAAGGAAAACCTGAGCATGAACTGGTTTTGAACCTGTTGTGTGCTACTACAAAAAAGAGATCATATTTAATTTTTGTCATTTGCAACATGTTGTCATTTGTCATTTGCAACAGTTAAAAGTACAAATTCACTATGATTCACCAAACATTTTTTATAATCTGGAACTATTCATAATATAATGTTATGTGAGCATGCCTGGAAAAAAAACACACGCAGGAATGTGAGATACTTTTTGCATAAATGTATGAACTCTTACATATTATTACGTTTTGCTGTTAAATGCCATCTTTAAACAATCTGGAAATTGAAGAAGTTTTTGTATATTGGCCAACGATTCAATATTTGGTACTTCTACTGCAACATGGTTCAATAATAAAATATGGACAAAAATGATCCATTTCTTTTTTATTATTATTATTATTTCTGGGGGTGGGAGGAGGGGACAACAAAAAAATGTAAACAAAATAAAAATACAAAAATAAAATAGACAATCACCCCTCCAAAAAAAAGGTAATGTGGTTTGATTACCTTGCTTTATTTGATGACAACTCTCACATACTTATAAAACAAAATAAGGTTGGAAATGTTAAACCTTTTCGAGTCATTGTCACCTTTTTCATCCACATCATGATGCAAACGGGCTTAATGTAGGAATAAATGAAAAGTAGTAAATAAACGATTGATATGATGAACTCATTCTGATTATTGCATCAACAGCCCACATTTTTATGACATTTGTTTTTTTAGTTCTTCTAATTACCACCACTGGTGCTGAGGTGCTAATTAGCATAAGTGCTAATTACCATCACAGCAGTTTTGCTGCCGTCGTTATGAACTGCGTGGTCAGTAAAGGACTCTAAGTCTCTTTCAACATTTTGTTCCTCAAATGCTCTTTTTGTGCTCAGACAGAAAGTTCAGGCTACCAAACAGAGCTGCACAGTAGTAGCTATCGCTCAACCTACCTTGACGGTCTTTTGACAGCTAATTGTGCGGTCCAACCTCCTTTTCCATTACCTGACCAATCAGAAAAGCCGAGGGGTTGGCCACGCCGCGCAACAAGCCAATCACAAACGAGCACAGCACTAGAACATGCAGACCAATTTGTCTTACTGTACAGTGTATCTTGTTGGCTGTGGAGCGGCAGCGCGAATAATTGGTGTCACACCGACCGGTTTATTATGCGCAAAAAAATCAGATAATTTTCTGGGTTTTTTTTAGTTATTGTTTTTTTTTCCCTTTGCAGAGAAACAAGGACGTTCTTTGTTTTCAAAGCAGGTGCAGTCACTGTCAGGACG